TTAGTAGATTTTTTTTCTTTTCTAGGATTTGCTACATATCTCATATAGCAAACGTTGCAAAGCGTACAACCTACACTTCATGATTCTCTCACCAAACCTTTACTCTCAACTTCTTGCCAGATTTCAGAACCTAACTGGCGAAATTTCTTAGAACTAGTAGTCTTACAATCTATACATTTCTTATTATTTTCCATTTGGTTAGCAGACTTAAGGTTGCGGGATTAAGAGGGATTAAACTAATATATACTTCTACGTTATGAAGGCTCCAAGTTTACTTAATAAACTATTGGCACTTAGCTTATTATGAAAGCGAGTAATACAAAATGTTCGAAAATACTTTAAATAAATATAAAAAAAATTTTGTAAGTTGTGTAATGTTAAATGAAAATCTACATAGGGGCACTGTCTCTGCTAAAAGTTTTATTATAGTTTCTACTTCAGCTGATCATATTTCTTGGGTTAATCAACAAACCCTCTTAATAGTCGTTATTGGACTTGGATGCTTTCATCTATTTGTCAAATTTCGTAAAATCTTCTTTTCTTCATTTAAAGTATATTTGGAATTATTTTGGTAAGTTTTTTTTTAATATTAAAATATTTATTAAGATATGTGTATACTTAATTTATTATTTAATAGATCTTGCAGTTATATTATATACTACTGTAACTTCGCTTAATTGGTTAAAAAATAGTTCTACTGCAAATTGGCTTATCGTAGTTTCAACTCTATTGCTTGAAATCAAATTTATTTTATTTTTTCGGCCTATAGGTTTTTTTGGGTTTTATATTGGTATGATTTTGAATAGTATAAACAAAGTATCATCTTTTTTAGTATTATTTGGATTGTTTACACTTGCATTTGCATACTCACTACACCTCTTGTTACAATCGTTTGTGGCTTTTCAAAGTATTTGATCAACAAATTAGTTTATTAATTTTATTATATATATTGCTTTAATAGCTATTTCATTATTAATTTTTTTTTTTTAGATTCCGATACAAATCTGTTTACACAACCTAGTTCTGCAATTATCACAACCTATTATATGATTATTACAGGTATATGATATAGTTCATCAATGTTTTCAGTATTTTTAAATTTCATTTAAAATAATAATTTTTATTATATTTTTATTAGGGAATTTGACTCCTATATCACAATGGATTTCAAAAGAAAATATTTTAATAATGCTTTTAATGATTATAGCTTCATTGTTTATAGTTATTTATTTAATGAATATATTGACTGGAGTTCTTTGTGAAGTTGCCATTAACGACGAAAATGATATTGTTTATTTGGCTTTTAAAAACGAGGTATTTTTTTATTATCTATTTCAACTAAAGCATTTTTTAATCAATAAATTGTTTATTTATGTTATATAGATTATTGAACAAATTGAGTTACTTTATATGCTTCCTTATCAAAGAAGGAAAGAAAATTAGTTTCCATCTATTGTGTATATAATTTAATTCATGCAAAAAACAAACCTTATTCTTTTTACTCATACATTTTTATATTAAAAGATTTTATGAATGCGACATAATTAAACTTTGTAAACATATAAATGAATGGTCAGGCTATAAAAAGCCTTATTTTTCAAAGAATATAATTGAAATTTTTCAACTCTCCAAAGAACAGCAAATTGAGAAGGATATCAAAGGTCTTAGGGAATCTTTAGATAATCTCATAGCATTCCAATGCTTCAATGCATATGCAAATTTAGGTAATTTAGAAGATTACATGTTTATTTGCATACCATAATATCATTTTTTATGAATTTGCTTGTTAATTTTATAATCAATTTCAGGGGATTTAAAAGCAAAATACTTTGTTGATTATTTTAAAAAGCTAATTAATACACTCTATATTGAAAAGAAAAAAAAATGCATGCTGTCCAAATACTTAAAGAAGTTGCAAATGCAAGTGATGAAGTCTATGATACACAATTAGAATATGGATTATGTTTATTTCACGGTACAGGTGTTGATAAAAATTTTTTCAGAAGCTGCAAAATATTTCAAAAAAGCTGCAGATAATAAAAGTGTAGTTGATATGTATAATTATAGAAATATGCTTTATACTGGACTTGTTGGTGTTAAAAATAAAGAAAATGAAAAATTAGGAATAGATTATATTAAAAAAGCTGCTCAGAATAGTAATTCAGATGCTATTGAATTTTGTAAAGAGAAATATAGTATAGATAAATAATCAATTAATTTAAAGTATGTTATCTATACTTATATCTAATCCAAAAAAGGTGCAAATTTAAAATTCTTCAAAAAATTTCATTTTGATTTACCAACTTAAATAAAAATATCAATAATTGATATCGTCATGTTATTATTGCACTGCCTGATGCATGAGCAATTACTAGCATATTAAGAACAAATAGCACCATAGTGATCAAAATAGTGCACAAGTATTATAATGTAATTTTAGCTATTGTTATGACTTTTTAGATAAAAGTCAATAACACAAATAACGATATTATTGAGATGTGCTATTACTGTGGTTTCAGCTAAATGTGATATATCCAGAAGTGGTGAGAGAAGCAGTGAACATAGTAAGAGGCTGTGGTAAGAGGATGGCTTACCAAATATAGAACACCTCTGGCACAAGGAAACAAGGAAAACTGGCTAAAAGAAACTCTAAAAGTATAGAAGCAGGCAATCCAATGGTATGAAAATAAAAACAGACTAGGGAGTAATAGTCACACAACCTATATAGGAGTCTATGACAAAACATGGCAGAGACGTGGGTCCTGGGTTACTGGATTGTAACAGTAATTAAATAAGGTACTTA